CACTAATAGCAAAATTTGGATTTCTTCTCCCTGCCCTGAAATGTACCTAGTTTATGAACACTGCATCAAAGTGATTAGCGTATTAGTGTGCATTCAGCTGGTTGGATCAATACATTCATTTAATGATCTTCACATTAGCCATGCTGGCTAGTGTGCTGGCTGGAATTTTAGAGGGCTGGAGGAGTATCCCAATCCATCTGGAGAACACCAGCTCGGGAAGAATAAAATGCCTTAATTGTTGTAAACAGAGCTGTGCAAGAGAGTGGAGATTTGCCATTGGCCTGATACTGAATCCGCCAACCCACACGGAATGTTCAAAACATCTTTTCCGATCTATAGTACTTTTAAGTTTTCACGGGGGAGAACTTTTTTCAGGGTCACAAATGGAACAGACCCCAGAACATGGAGGAGTCTAGATTCAAGCCAAGCACATCCTTGCAAGCCCTCTTTGATACCCTGGGGCTGAGAAGACAGCTAAGCCCAGTTGTGGGCGGGTGGGGGGAAACCAATACCTTTGATTTCCTCTCTACGTTTGGCCACAGATGAAAGCGTCATCCTCTCTTGAACCCTTTTTCTCGACTTCTTTTCAGGAACCCAAGGTTAAAGGAAGGAGAAAGGAGTCAGTTTTCCAAATCTGCTCACCACATCTCCTTCCTGGGCTAGGCATGTCCTTTCAATTTGTATTTTTAAAGAGATGCTTTGCTAGAAGGCAGAATGAATTATGCATGAGAGCACTTTATTTCCCTCCTCCCATACTATGGGGGAGCTGTTGATCATAGCTTCCTTCTCTTATTATGCTGCAGAGATACAGTGACAGTTAGGAAGGGCCTGAGTGCTTCCGTGGAGCCTCCTGGGAAACCAGATGAGGTGGAAAACATCTCCAGTTTTTCCAAATCGACATGGACAACACTCTACACAAGGCCATATCTGTATCTGAAGGCTTCCATGCCACTCCCATGATAACAGTCCTCTCTTCAAAGCCATCCTTCAAACTGAAGGGCTATTCAGCTTAACTATGGTTTGTACAGAACTCTGAAGAAGAGACAACAGAGGGCCTGAAAATGCCTACACAGAGCGCTGCCCTGGACAGCAGGCCAACACACTGTTTGCTCAGTGGAGTGTTTTGTGCTACGTTGGAAGGGTTAAGCTGGATGACTGCCATATCATTCCCTCTATAGCTAAGCTCACATGACTAGTTACCGCGTGACTCACTGGACAAGCCATCATACGCCTGAGTTCAGACATACCACACTGAGCCCAAATTACACAATGGCATCATGTGACGTACAAACAAATATGATTATTCCAGTATTGGGGACATACTTCCTTGTGACAGATTGCCAAGGCCCTAACTTTGCAGAACTTTGAATGCACAGACGCACTCCCACCAAGGTTGATAAGACCACCATTTTCCAGAAAGTAAACATCAGAAGGATAAGCCATCGTATCACCCATTAGATTTGAATAAATAATCTTACCCTTCATTCATTTTACTGTAAATGAAATATAAAATAAAGTTTACTCAAATTCTGCCTGATATAGAAGCAGCCATGAAGTTTTCTCCTGTTCTGGCCTACTATCACGAGCTTCCAGATCGTTCCCCATCAAGAACTGACCCCGTTTAGCATGCTGGCAACAACCAAGTTTGGCAAAGTTGTTTCTTAAGCAAAAATAGTTACAGTGGTTTTAGGTTCTGAAATTCAGCATTTAATTTTTTTTTCCCCAAGGGCCCTGATTACTTTGGGATCTGTAGCTGCCCCCCGTTTCACATCCCGGCTGAAATCGTAGATGACAGTGAAAATCTTGGCAGTCTGTAGTACTGGGCTAAATAAGCAGCTTGTACATTGCCTGCCTTCTCTGCCTGACTGAACAGAGAAGTCTTGAAGATTTTAGTATAAAGAAAACTGTATTAAACAGCAGCAGCTCTCACGGGATATCCAAACCCAAGCTTGGTCTCTCCAAATACGTGAGCAGCAAAAACCCAGAATGGGGGAGTAAGGAAAGGTGTATAGCAATGCAGCAAAGAACAATCTATTGTCCTAACGCCTGCAGGCAATCTCTCAACTCCGCTGAGGCTGGCAATTGTACCAGTTATGAGATCAGCACTCCATTTGGTTCAGAAGAAGATTAAAGTTTAACTCCACTCTCTGCAGCAGCTGGGAGACCCATTTATTCATTAATCTGACAATTATTATTGGTTTTAATTAAACACACCTCCGTCCCGTTATTGCAGAGAGCGGCGAGGCCCTTTCTCTGTGCCGCTGTGTTTTGATGAATTAAGCAACTCTAAGTGATAATATGATTTACGTCTAACAACAGAAGAAGAGGGGACAGGCAAGAAAAAGTGTTGGGTTGGGGGTGTGATATAATGTTACAGTAAAAAGAGAAAGCCTGAAAAATTATATTATAAAGAAAGCAACTCCTCCCACTTCGTAATTGACTAACCTAATTTCCCTCTTTGTTAAACATACCAATTCAAATGTTGAGAAACAACAAATATCAACATTGCTCAAAACATTTAACTTTTCAAGCACTTACCTTGGTTTAGTATGTATGTAGTATGTTAAGAGATTTAGCTTTTGGTTCTGATTGGTTGAGCTTCCCTGAAGTCACAAAGGAGTCCTTCGCTGTCATTGGCTGAACTGCTCAGGTCCTAAAAAACAGACAGATAAGTCAGTTTCACTTCCTCCCTCATTTATTTTAATGTTAAATTTTATTTTACATTAAGTTCTGCAAGCAGATGGAGAT